TACTTTATATGGGATGCCGCCACAGCATGGCCTGACAAGCAGTGCGACGGTGTGCGCCCAGGATCCGAACCTGCGAACCCTTGGGCTGCCTAAGCAGAGCGCGTGCACTTAACCACTACGCCACCGGGCTGCCCCTCAGCTCTATTTTTTATCAACTCTAGATTATTTTTTATCTCATTGTGTTCTTCATATCCAGAATGTTTTTTTTTTTCCCTCAGAGTTTCAATCTCTTTGGTGAAGTACTCCTTCTGCTCATTAATTTTATTCCTATGCTCACGGAACTGTCTTTCTGAGTTTTCTCAGAAAACTCAGTTGTAACTCATTGAGTTTCTGTATGACAACTACTTTGAATTCTCTGTCATTTAGATTGTAAATTTCTGTGACTTCAGGATTAGTTTCTGGAGACTTTTTCCTTCTGCTTTGAAGTGCTACTGTAGTTCTTCATGGTGTTTGATGAACTTATCCTTTGCCAGTGCATTTGTGGTAGTATCAGGTCACAGATTCCACTGGCCACCACTGGGGGGTAAGCAGGAGCTGTGTTTTCTTTTTTTCTTTACTGAGGAAGATTGGCCCTGAGCTAACATCTGTTGCCAATCTTCCTCATCTTTTGCTTGAGGAAGATTAGCCCACAGTTAACATCTGTGCCAGTCTTCCTCTACTTTTTTTTTTTTTATACTTGGGTCACTGCCACAGTGTGGCTGATGAGTGGTATAGGTCTGCTCCTGGGATCCAAACCTGAGAACCTAGGCCATCGAAGCAGAACGTGCTTAACTTTACCACTACGCCACGGGCCCAGCCCCAAGGACCTGTGTTTTCTGATCCCGCCCCATCTGCTGGTAGGGCTGCTCTGCATTTGCGCAGGCTGGCCACAGCTGCTTGGCAGGTTGCACTCACATGGGCAGGGCCTCTGTGCTGGGAGGGCAGGTCGGGCACTGTAGGTGGGGCCTCTGTGCTTGGCAGGAGACTGGCTAAGCTGCTGCATGCTAGGTGGGAGAGGTGTCTATGTGAGGGCTAAGCCGCCACTTGGTGGATCCCGTGGGCTGGGGCACTCCGCAGGTGGGGGCACCGTCTGAGCGGGTGGGGCGCCTTCTCACCAGCGCTGCGCTAAGGGTGGCGGGCACTCACGCGGGGGCTGAGGTGCCGCCACTTAGTATAGAGCGTTCCCATGGGCAGGGCTGCCATGGCACGCTGGGTGCTCCTGAGGGCTGGGCTGCAAATATGAAAGCGTTAGCACAGGCCTATCCCTACCTCCTCTTACAGTCATGCACAGCTGCTGTGTGAAGATCTGCGAACTGGCTCACTGCCGCTGGGGAGGAGGAGGGGTGCACTTAGTTTCACTTTGTCCCAGGGATGCAGTCCCCCCACCTTCAGATGTATAGCTGGGCGGATCTCTCAGAAGTCCTGTTGTGCTGTGCAGGAAGTCCTCTGCTGGTTAATGAATGTCTATCTGGTCGTAACTTAAAGGGGAGAGACTGAGGGAACAACTCCCTCCGCCATGATGCTGACGTCACTCTTTCCTTGTCTTATGATTTTTTTTAACAGTGCCTTTCGAAAAGCAAGGCTTAAATTTTGATCAAGTCTAATTTATTTATTTTGTCTTTAATAGATTATGTTTTTGGTATTGTATCTAAGAAATTTTTGCCTAGTTTAAGTCACAGTTTCCTCCTATGCTTTCTCCTAAAAGTTTTATAGTTTTAGGCTCTACATTTAGGTCTATGATCAATTTTAAGTAAATTTCTGTAGAAGAGGTGAAGTTTGGGCAAGGTTCATGTCTTTGCATATGGATGTCTGTTCCAGAACCATTTGTTGAAAAGACCATCTATCCTTTCTTCATTGAACTGCCTTTGTACCTTCATCAAACACCAACTGCCCATCGACATAGGAGTCTAACTCTGGACTCTGTTCTGTGCATGGATCCACGCCTCCACCTTTCAGCAACGCCAGGGTCGGTATTCTTGCAGTTTCATGGTAAGTCTTGAAAACAGGGTAGTGTGAGTCTTCTAACTTTTTTCTTCTTTTCAAAATTGTTTTGACTACTCTACAATTCTTTCTGTATAAATTTTAGAATCAACCTGTTGATTTTTAAAACAGAAAAATCCTACTGGGACTTATTTTTGAGAAGAGAGTCATTCAAGATGATGAAAAGTTTGTAAGTTTAAAGATGCCACCTTAACCATCTTTAGCTGTGAAGTCATCTTCTCCTCATGCTGTCCCTCAGTTCTCCCTCTTTACAGAACTGGAGTAGCTAAGACAGCTAGCTAGAGTGACTGCAGTAAAATGCCAGAAGCTACGTAACCAGAAGATGGTGTCACTTGTCTTACGTGATAGAAGTCCCGAATCCAAGCACATGAACAATACGCATCAGCATCCTCCAAGCAGCCACTTACGTAGGAGTAGAAGAGGACAACTCACCAGCATAGAACAAGCACACAGTTAAAGCTGCACAAATCAACAGTGTGTTGTAAATAATAAGATAGATTTTTTTTTTTTTTTTGGTGAGGAAGATTAGCCCTGAGCTAACATCTGTTGCCAAGTGTCCTCTTTTTGCTGAGGAAGACTGACAGTGAGCTAACATCTGTCCCCATCTTCCTCTATTTTATGTGGGACGCCTGCCACAGCATGGCTTGATAAGTGGTACGTAGGTGCGTGCCTGGGATTTGAACCCGTGAACCCTGGGCTGCCGAAGCGGAGTGGGCAAACTTAACCACTACGCCACCTGGCCAGCCCCCAAGACAGATTTTTTAAAAAATGTTGATTATATCTTTCCTTTGTGCCTTGAAGTATCATCCCACAAATGCACTTCAGGCTGTAAATTCCTTAGAGCATATCAAGTTAGCACCCCAAAAGAAAAAATAGTTGGATTGCTAGGTAGTAAAGGATTATAACACTTTCCTAAATATAAGAATACTTATATCAGTTTTCACATCAGGAAACGTAAGCTCTTCAGATAACCTTTTTCTCTAAGTACTAACACACTTCAGCTTAACTATTTGGGGTAGCAACGTCTTAAACTGGACACCTAACCCTAGGTGACAGTTATCAGTGTCAACCTGAAGCAACAGTCCCTAGCCAATGCAGCAATCTCAGAGCTGCGAGTGGCCTGCAGGCCAGTAGCTCCAGGCTGCTTTTGGAGTTGTCCAGCTTGCTTTCAGGGGACTCAGGGCACCATGGCCCTGTCCCCGCCAGCCTGCTGCCTCCCTCGTCCTGATCATAACTCCCTGCTTCAGGGAGAGGCCACGGGAGGCCAGGTATCTATTCTGCCAAAGCTCATTCCTTTAGAGAGAAGCCGCAGACAGTCACGTTGTATACAGCTGCCACATCTCACACTGCACAAGCCCGATTCCCTTGCTACAAGGAAGGGGACTGAAGCCTGGGGGTGAAGCAAAGCCCAGAGTGATCAGACAGTCTGTGATGATCTAGAAGTCTAAAATGGCTTGAAGCTCAGCAGTTTCCCAAATAGGCAGCCCCTATGGAGGCAGACGATGACCACCATCAGCCCCTCAGGGCAGATCCGACAGCTAGACACGTGCAGGCAGGGAGTGGAGGAGAGGAGACAACAGGCCCAGCGTTCCAGGGACTTGCTGGGCTCCCTGACCCCTACTAGGCCTTGAAGACAGTGGGAATCCCAGGGTCTCTGGTTGCTGAGACTTTGGTGCTGGTCGCAGGCTTAACAACCTCCAAAACCTAACGTTAAGTCTTTCTCGTACATCTTGGAAAAACGCATCTACAGTGTAATAACTGATTCCTCATGATGCAGTACCCCCCGTATCAAATGAAGATGTTATCCTTTTAGTAGCCAAAGTATTCTAAAGTATTTTGATGTAGCTACACTCTTTGAAAAGTTAGTATTTTGATGTAGCTACACTCTTTGAAAAGTTAGTAAACCTGCAGAGAGTATACATACCAGATACTAGCCAGAAGCTTTTATTCCTGAGAACTTTCCTTCTCAATCAGTATTCTACAACGCATGTGGTCAAAGGGGAACCTCACGCAACATGATGGGCAAGTAACAGAACCTTGGAGACACAGCTAGCCAAATACATTTCCCAGCCTCTTCTGCAGCTAAGTGGGACCAAGAAACTAAGTTCTGTTCAATAAAACATCAGTGGAAGTGTCTAGTGGCTGCTTTTACGAATGTTCCTTAAAAGAAAGATAAAAGTAACTTTTTCCCCTCCTCTTCATCCTGTGTCTTGCTGTGTAGAATAAAATGTGAGGACTGGAGCCCTAGCTGCCATCTTGGACCAGGAGGCTAAGGGCCACCTCCTAGGGATGTGAAAGCAGTCAACTGGAGAAAGCCTGGACTTTGAAGGATTTTATGGAGCACAGCTGCCATACCAGCCCCGGGCTGCCTCCCTGTATACTGTGATGCTGTTGTTTAAGCCACTGTTATAGTAGGCCTCCAATCCTGATATACAGTATTTCTCAAGTTTCACGATTCTCCACTTTAGCCAACTTTGGTGACCAACTACCAGCAGCTGAGCATGTCAGTCTAGAGAATATTCACCATACAGACCAAGGCGTTTTTGTCATCTAGTGGGTATAGAAGAAGCACAGCTCATGTTTGCAGGCACTTACTATATCCAGATCCTGTGCTGAGTGCTTTGAATGGGTTATCTCATTTAATTCTATTTAGCCCCATCCTCCTTTACTGAATGAAGGTACTGGGGCACAGAGAAGTTTGGCATTCTCCTTGGTCACAGGGCTAACAGGGACAGAACTGGACTGTTAACTCCAGGCTGTTCCAGAGCCCAGGACCCTCCCTCTCGTGGAGGCTGCTGAGGTCAGGGGGTGTGCAGTCCCCCAGGTGGAAGCCCCACAGGGCCCATGCTGGAGACGGTCCACCCATGAGGCCCAGTCCCAGCTGCCTATCCCCACTGCAATGGCACAGGGCTTTGCAAAAAGGCCCATATTTTATTTAGGGAAATAAAAGTATCTATTTATGGTAAATGTTTCCTTCCTATCTCTTAGAGGAGAAAGGGGAAAAAAACTTAGCATCTTACCTCAAAGGAACATTCAACATTTCTTTCATTTTTTTTGTGTGATAATCCCTTCAGGTCTATCTTTTCAACACTCACTGTAAAGTAAAAAAGAAACAAAAAACAAAATTACAAAAATGAAATAAAACCTTGAGGTACATATGATTAGTTAGCATTGCACATTTTAGCAATTTTCAAAATAAGGCTTTCAACGCCTAGTGCTGCTCAGTCTCTTCTGTGGAGTGCTCACCTGGAACAAGAAACTGCAGAGGAAGGCAAAAAGCCATGATACTCAGGAACAGAGGGTGAATTTAAAAGTAAAAAGAAAAGACAGGCAAAAAGTAAAAACAAATCATAGAAAAGAGAACAATGCTTGAAAAGAGAACCTAAGTTTATTTGAGTGCACAAGAGTAGAGACTGTAATTATAACTACAGATTAATTATGATCTATTCTAATTTCTGGAAAGCTAATGCCCAGCACTTGCATCTATGATTGTTTTAGACACAGCTGCCCAGAATCTCATTCGGATCTTCTTGGTAACAGAATGCGGTCTCATCCTTCTGACTGACAGGGCCAGGCTGGAGGTGATCAGGGCAGCAGTTACCGAAGAAACAGTGAAGACCCCTAACGCCACCTCTAAAGACTGCAACCAGGACTGTCAGGGATGGCAGCTGTGCAGACAGACAAGGACAGGAAGGACACTCCGTCCCCAGAGATCTCTCGAGTCCTCTCTTTCTTTATAATTCCCTTTCCACATACATGGGGGCGTTTTCTTTCTCTTCAAAAATAAAATGATACAATTAAGTTTTTAAGCACTTAAACTGAAGTTTTAAGATATAAATTAGGTATGTAAGATGCAAATATTTGAGCACAAATATTTGCTGAAGATAGGGGCCAGCCCAGTGGCGTAGCGGTTAAGCGTGCGTGCTCCGCTTTGGCGGCCCAGGGTTCGCAGGTTTGGATCCCGGGTGTGCACTGATGCACCACTTGTCAAGCCATGCTGTGGTGGCGTCCCATATAAAGTAGAGGAAGATGGGCAGGGATGTTAGCCCAGGGCCAATTTTCCTCAGCAAAAAGAGGAGGATTGGCATCAGATGTTAGCTCAGGGCTGATCTTCCTCACCAAAAAAAAAAAAAAATGTGCTGAAGATAAAACAGCCACTTATCAAAGGGGTGAGGGAGGAAGGCGAAAGGGGTGACTGAACACGTGTATGGTGATGGATGGTAATTAGTCTTTGGGTGGTGAACATAATGTAGTCTACACAGAAATCGAAATATAATGATGTACACCCGAAATTTACAAAACAACAGCAGCCACTTATCAAACATAATGCAGTTTCCAAGCTCCCAAACCAGAGTAAAGTATGTATGTCCTATTTCTGATTCAAACACAAACATTCCTCAAGTACCAATATAACTAATTGTTCAAGCTTATGTATTTTTGCAGGCACGAACAGTCAAAAAATCCACCTTTTACAGATAACTAGGAAAGACCATAACAAACGAGGAAGGCTTCAATACGTGAACATTATATACACCTTCCTCCATTATTTTTCACTATTTTTAGACGTCATGTGACAATGTACTATGGGATTTCTACAGATCTTTAAAATCTAACTGTCCAGTACGAAACACTCAATATAACTTATCAAAACTATGATGGTACACTTCTTGCAGACACCCAATCTCCTGGTCTGCCACACCAACGTTTTCCAAAGTCTTCTCCAAGGAACACCAGTACTGTAAGATGCTCAAGGCAACCCTCAAAAAGCTTCATGGTCAAAAAGTTTAGAGGAAAAATCTAAGAAACTCCTTCCTATAGACTGTCCATGTACATAACCATATTAAAGGTTCTGAGAAGTCCTGCATTTTTATTTTTATCAACAACAATTCCCCAGTTGCTTTAGCCACAGAACTCTTTCTTCCCCTAACGTGTATGAACATCCCAGAGAATAACGAACTGCTCTGTCATCATGCTTTGGGGAAGGTGCTAACCGTGCACTGCCCAATACTGTAGCCACTAACCACATGTGACTGTGTAAATTTGTATTAATTACAATTGAATAAAATTAAAAATCTAATTCCTCAGTTGCACTAACCACATTCTAAGTGCTCAAAGGCCCCATGTGGCTAGTGGCTACCAGACTGTACAGCATAGACACAGAACCTTCAGTCATCACTGAGAGTTCTACCGGACAGTGCCCTTCTTTTTCGTTGTTGTTGTTGTGAGAAAGACTGGCCCTGAGCTAACATCTCTTGCCAATCCTCCTCTTTTTGCAGAGGAAGATTGGCCCTGAGCTAACATCTGTGCCCATCTTCCTCCACCTTGTATGTGGGACGCCACCACAGCATGGCTTGATGAGTGGTGCATCGGTCCGCACCCGGGATTCGAACCTCCAAACCCCAGACCGCCATGGCCAAGTGTTTGAACTTAATCACTACAGCACTAGGCGGCCCTGGACAGCGCCCTTCTAAGCCAGGGGCTGACAACCTACAGGCTGCCCTCTGCCTGTCTGTGTAAATGGTTTTATTGGCACATGGCCATGCCATTTGTTTACATATCGTCAACGGCTGCTTCCCACCCTGCCAACAGCAGAGCCGAGCAGTTGCACCAGACACCTTATGCCTCCCAAAGCCAGAAAGATTTACCCTCTGGATCTTTGCAGAAAATATTTTCAGATCCCTGCTCTAAACCAGCAATCGTTCATTCACCAACATGTCTTACCAAGTGCCTTCTGGGTATCAGGCCATGTTCTCAGGGCCAGGAACATAGCAGGAGCAAGACAGATGGGTTCTTGCACCCACAGAGGTTACGGTCTATTGGGGAAAAGCCCCTTCATCTGCTAAATTCTCCTCTCATGAGCCCCTCTAATTTGGTAAAGTTGCATCAAGGTCGATATGCATCTTGGGAGATACGAGAGCCCATTCGGTTTAGGGTATTTTAAGCTTAAAATAGCACCTTACAGGAAGGATTTACTCTAAAAAAATAAGAATGTTTCCTTCCTTCCTGGCAAAACAAAGCAAACACTACACTTAGAGGTTGTATACCTCCCTATTTTCACTCAGGGAAACTACTCACTGTTCCCATCTGACTTCCTCAAGTCAGATCGTCAGCAAATAAACAGCTTTTATGTTTTCCCGACGAGTATTTCTTAAAACTTACCCACGATGACATCACTCTAATCCAGATCTTTTACTCTTTTAAACAATACACAAAGTCAATAAATACAAAAAAACGTAGTTAGCATTTTCCCTGGCCACAGAACACTAACGTTTGTAGCTAACTGTTCCAGGACTGAATAATATTACGATTTAGAAAAAAAAAGTAAAAAGAAAAACATCCCATCTGGACTGACAGTGGGAAGTGACTCATATCTGGACAGGAAAATGTGAAAAGCAGATGAATGTTACTCGGCTGTTTTCAAATAAAAAAGGCATTTTGAACTCCACGACTGAAAGGTTTGTGGGACCTCTTGGAAATCGTCAGACCAACCAGCGCGGTGCTCTGTGTCAGCCCCGTGAGGCGGCACCATCATCAACCTGCAGGCTGCTGTGGACCAAATACGTGGTGGAGAGGTTCTGTTCACTCACAGCCGAGTCCTCTCCATGCTGCCCGCCCTGCAAACACCACCATGGTCACACGGGGCTCTGAAGGTGGGGAAGGCACCAGGGCGCTGGTGGAGTGACTTTCTCTCACAGATGTGGGTAGTGACAGAGGCTAATGGGGGGGGGCGGTTATGAGATGTTAATTAGGATTAAAAGATGTTTAAGCATGCTTTCAATTTTAGAGCTACTAAAGATCGAGATTATAAAAACAAAAACATAAGAAAACACTCATAATAATAACTGAAAAATTATACATTATAAATTTAACATGATTATAGTTGTTTAAAATGTAAAAGAAAGAGAGGCTAAAAATAAATTATCAAAAATGGTAAGGACAATTGTGTTGGGTGGTGGAATTATGGGCAGTTTTTTCCCCAAATTTCCGTAATGTGGTTTCATAACTTTACAGTGTATACCTACATGCGTACAGATACCTAGTTACGATCCACTCCACATCTACTGGAGGATAAAGTGACCCGCTTTCCCTCTCACCTCCCTGGTCAGCCCTGCAGACTGTGTCACCTGTCACCCAGGAAGGCCCACTACTTTCTCAAGCGTACAAGGGAGTGTGTGTGAATCTGAGCGACCAGACACAGTCCGTCACCTGAAGGGAGCGAGCAGAGCCAAAGGTGACTACGAAGACTGGCAGCACCGCAAAGGCTCAAGGCCTGATGGGCTCGCTTCCACGTGGCCAGAGCGCCAGAGCACGAGCCCACCATGCCAGGAAGGCACTCTCAAAGGAGGCCTGGGAAGGTAGGAGCTACGACCTGGGGAGAAACTTGTGGAATGAGGAGACTATGTGTAGGCACGTCTGTGTAGGGCAGAGAGACGGGGCTGGGACAAAGGGACACGACGCCAGATCAGCCTGCTCTCTCATGCTGTGATGAGAAAGAAAAGGACCGTGTGCTTTTGCCTTTTAAATTTTGTTTGTTCAAACTTTTCTTCTTTTCTCATTGAAGATACACACTAGGAATTCTCCTCAAATCTACAAGCTAGATCACACAGGCTTTAATAAAAGGTATAACTGCATTAAATTACCATTTTTATAACTGGATCAATACCTAATTTTAAAAAACAATACACTAACGTCGCTGAAGAAAGAGGGAGGGAACTCCGTACAGGAGAGCAAGTCTCAAGGCGTGGTCTAACAGCCAGGTGAGAGAGGGAGGACAGGTACTCCACGGCGGGGCTGGCACAAAGTCACAGAGGATTCAGGACTAGGGCCGACCTGGAGGCCGCACAGCCAGTGGGTGCCAAGCCAGGGCTAGGAGCACAGCCTCTTGATTTCAGTTCCAAGAAGGAATCATTCTTTTGAAAGATTTCCCCTTTCTACCCTAAAGTCTAGAGGGAAAAAAATGGGTGGTTGGTAGTTTTCTGCCAAATATGTCTTTTACTTGATCTCAATGTACCTTTGTTAGATAGTTTAATTCTATACACCCAATAACAAGAAACCACTTCAAAAAGTACCAAAACTATGCTAAAAGAAACCATT